AGCTGATATTGTGTTGGATTTATAAACCAGGCAAGAAAATTGGTAATATTGATACTCTGAAGCGTTTCACATAAAACTCCGTATGCTTTTTACATAAACCCAAGATTTCTGCGGAAAACCTTGAGGGAATCTTGCCGGACATTGCTTGGTAACATTCAATGCCCAAGCAAGTGGAAGATACTTCCTCCGGTCTTGACCTCACTCTCGGATGTGCCATTAAAGCGGAGTGGACTAGAACGCGTCTTAAATAGCCTAAAAATAATGGTCGGATAGTTGCTCTGTCGTACTTTTGATGTCTTTCGTTAAAGAGTTCTTACAAAGCTATTATTGTGATCCCACGTTTGGTCAACTCCCAGTAAACACATATTGCATCTATATTTTAACCCGGAAAAATGCACCCACACTCCTGCGTGCGAAAAATATTCAAATTATTATTCATTTTCGTTGTAAGTCGTTTTATAAACAACTTCTAAGGGATATTTCAGGTGGTTGAAAGTTAGTAATATGTGGATTTAAAGGCAGTGAATATTTGCATTTTGAAGTGTAATACAGAAAGCAGTAATTTCATGGTGCTAAATACTTGATTACCGTCTTTGCACATTTATGTGAATTACAACAAAGTGTCCAGTTCAATGAATACGTTTTATGGCCAAAGATAGGGCAAAAGCGCTTTTGTAGCAACTCTTAAAATCCGTTTGGCGAACACTATGAATCATAAAAGCAAATTGGAAGAAAAATTTAATTGAAATGATTGGTCCAGGTATGCTAATCAATTGACTTATTGAAATTGGCTGAGACGCTTCAGAGAAGGTTCTTGGGCAGGTTTTCATTTTTGGCAATCTCCTCTCTTTATTTTACCACGGAACTATGCTTTCGCGTTTGGGGTATTGTGTGAAACTCAAGGGGATTTCTGCCGATGGTGAGAACGGTTTCCCCGGAAACTTGACTGTCTATATTACCTATCGTCTTTCAGAAAATGAAGAAGATCAACGAGTCAGCCTGTCGATTGATTATTTTGCCTCCACCACAGTATATCTAAAAGACGAAATTCATAATTAATAGGCCGAATAGCAATACACAGTGAACGTGAAGGCAGTCGTCGTTACCCACACATAGTTCCAAACATACTAAACTGTATTTTATTGACCAAATTTAACATATTAATCGTCCCCCATATGATAATAGACCTGAAAATCACTGTTATAGCTGCACATACAGGTGAAATAAAAACAGATAAACAAAGAAGTGATCAAATCAAAACCTCGTAAATAAATTGGTTCTCATCGGCAATACAATCTCCGCATTTAATTACAACAGCAGATTAACTTCTGGGCTCACACATGACTGTTTTTCCTGGTTTAGCCTAGTGTTCTCTTTCCATCATATTCAGATTTGATTTTCCACTTCGATATATTTCCACCTTTCTCTTAATATAAAGGCGTGACATCATATCCACCTCCTTCTCATCGGGATATAACAAGGTTGACCATTTTAAATTTCTCCAGAGACGACTATATTCTCTAATCTGTGTGCTACTTGATTCTCAATTTCGATAAAATGGTGCTACTGGGGAATCAATACGAACAAAACAAAAGTATTCCGAGAGCACCAATAGTGCTTGGTTATAAAAGAATAACAAAAAATCCAAGCTTGCACTTAATAAAGGCAATTTTGAACACAAAGCTTTAATGTTCATACCTCAGGAGATGAAGAGTTGAGGACAATAAAATAATATAATTCGCAAAGTGGTAACATAAACTCTGTCTTTAATCCATTAAAAGCAATAAAATTGAACAAAGCAAATAAGACTGAATAGTCAAGTTCGTAAAACAATAGGCAGTCTTTTCACTAACCGAATAACATTTCTTTTCATTCTGCGCAAGATGGACAATAGATAACTGCTGAAATGAGTTTCCACGTTTGAAAAAAATTCAAAACCTGCATTATAAAAACTAGAAAAACCTTCTCCAAGCCAATTTCAAAACTGTGTAGGTACCCTTAGTGGCGACGCCAGAGTGAACAAGCATTCGAGGAAACTGCCTTTAAACCGATGCGTTCATTTGACCATTAGAGATATCTTAGTAAATAACTAAAACTTCTATTTAGAGGCCTAGGAATGCTACTTCTCTTATCTAGAAACAATTTCACTTCCATGGGTTGTCGATCAATCTTAGATAAGTAATTTAAATAGCAATCAATTTTATAGAAACCTCAAATTAAAATGAGGTGCTAGAAATTGCGTTGCGGCCACCGACACCAATTTGGATTTTGAAAAGATTTGAAATTTTACTCCACCAAAGGGGCGATTGCAGTCTCCTTTAACACATCATCTAAGTACCTATTACTAGACAGTTACTTCAACATGCATACTTATCAAAGACAGAACATCCCCATGTTCTTTGCATTTCGATGAGTTGGTTTATTCGCAATTGGCGCCAATTAGCAAACACTGCCGTGATCTGCGTTGTGCTCCATCAATTGATGGTTCCAAATGCTTCTTAACAACAACAGTAAGATTCTGGCACATGCCTTTAGAGAAGAATTGATCACCTTCAATTCCTCCACCACGCATATTCACACGAACCTGAACAGATTAAGAACAGTCATGCTATTGCAATAACTTCACCACTACTGGCAGATTTAAGTAGGTCTTTAGAAACGAGTTCGACGAGAATGCGCAAGTATCAATCTCCTGTTGAAAGAACTAAAATGACGGTGTTGAGCAACCATGTAAAACCTCCCTCAAAGTAGCTAACAGAAAACGAAACTGAACATGGATAAAGTTATAGAAAATACAGATCTAATAACATAGATATTTGGCAAAGATGGTTGTAGGAACTATCGATTCAACGTCAATACAAAGATGGCAAGTTGATGAATATTAACTATTTTAATTGATTATATTGACATAACAATTTGATGAAGAACAAGGAAATAGTACCACGTCTTTAACTCTCCAACCATTGAGAGTCAATAAGTGATCAGGTTTCGTGTTCATCAAGGCACTTTGACAACTGGCTTATTGTTAAATAATCCGATGAACTCGCATTCAAATCCAATTTACGACGCAACTCGACTCTACGAATAAATGACAAGGTGATCAGCAATAAAGAACTTTTGGAAATAATAACAATCTCTAGCAACATTAGAAACAGAACAAACCCGGTTGAACAAACAAGATAAAGTGAACCGCTGAGAGAGGGATGGCGTATTCAAAAGATAATATGTCTTGTTGTGAAAACCCACTGAAGGACGATAAAGCATATCGACAAACTCGAAAAGATCTATGAATGAGGGGTCTCAATAAGATGAGAATATATCACAATGACTGATAGCTAGTAACACCCAAATAATGTGACAAACTTCAATGAAAATGACAAACATAAGGCACAACAAAATCAGCAACAGATGACGCGTATTAATTACAGGGACAAGCTTACGAGCGCTATTAATTAAGCGGGCCAGAAACATTTTATACGGTTCCTTTAAGCCTTTCAAGGTCCTAAATGACCTTACTGTTTGACAGTTAAAGAAAATAGTCACAATTTGTCATTCTAAATATAATATGCAATTAAAAATTATAATATAATAATAATTTAATAATATAAAATAATGTTTATCTTAACCACGTGGTCTAATTGTGTATTAAAATTTCTGCTGCTCAATACCAAATGATTCCAAATTTAATGGTTTACCTCTATTGATTTTCAAACTTCTGTCATAATTTTGCAAGTATGGCTTACATCTATAACCAGTATAATTCTCAACCAACGATTACCGCTTTACGATTGCGTGCCTATTTGAATATGAAATAGAGGCATTATGTATTTTGCAGTTGCCCTTGTATTATCAGCTCTTAATATTTGATAATTAGACAAAAGTATCAATTCGTCATTTTATGTATATTATATGCCAGTGATTGGGTACATTTTTGGACACAACTACAAGATTCCCACATTTTTCACCATAACTTGTATTTATTAGATATAAATCAAAATGGTTCATTTTAGAAGGAAAGTATTATGTTCTTTCTAATATTACAACAGAACTCAATCATATCTTAGCGTGTCCATATAAATAGAATTAAAACTTCAAACATTAGAATTTTGACACGATACTATTCATTATTGTTGCATCCTGTACCTTTCCGATTTTGATGCCTCATATTGGTTGAAATAATCATCTAATCTTAGAAAACTCATCTGCAATTGGCGATTTAGTTCTCCACCAATTCACTCGAATTGGCTTTACGTCACTTTCCCCATCATTGTTCATTAACTTATAAGCAGCTCAATTCTAACCTTTACTTATACGTGGAGTAACTATGAACAATTTTTGAAGATGCAGGGTGTTTTGAATAGACTTGACAGGATGATCGTTGGTTATTTTTTCAGTTTTCATGCTAACTTTGTTTCCTTTTACAGTTAAAACACCTCTTAAGACATGTATTTATACATAATGTCAGGCTTTATGACAGTCGTCAGTTGAGAAAACACCGACATGAAATGTTGAATATTGGGTTGCTGTTGTATAAAAATAATTTTGACCTCAATTTCAACATACAATAAATAAAGTGAGCTCGGTTATGATGCAGATAATTTTAAGAAACAATAAATAATCGTTTGCATTAAGAAAATAAATAAAATAATGACAGATGACTCAAACACTTTTGTCTAATTTACAGAGGCCACGTGAATATATCAACCATTTAAAGTGAGTATAAATGACCTCATTCCAACCAAATTGGTGTCAATTCATTCTTAATAAGGTATCCTTACTGATGCTACCTGCAAGTTGTTTAGACATATGAAATGCTTCATTTACCAAAGCCAATCCTAATCTTACCTTAGTACCCACGGATTCATATATATATATATATATATATATATATATAAGCTAGTTGGAAAATTTAATTAACCAGGTGGAGCGCATATTCACAAATGGGTCCCAAAAGTATTAATTCGAAGTTATTAATGATTGCAATTATCGTTCTAATAACAATGTTCATTATCTCCAAATTTCGGGGTAGGCTATTTCCCATTTTGAATTGTTCGCGAAATATCCTTCAGGCTCATGTTGATAGTTCTGGGGTGTCAAACTTCAATGCACGAGAAAAAATCCTTCAGTTGGCACTTGGGAATGAGAGCACTTCTAACAATCCCGATATCGATGTAATGCTTGTTGGAGCTGAGGTGATGTACTTTTCTCGAGTACTTAGGACCGAAAAGGCAATTATCGTACCGAAGGAGTGGTGTAGTAATTTGGGAGCTAAACAGACGTTCAATTCATCTCCGGTTGCACAGAAATTAATGGAATGCTACAAACCGAACATACATCTTGAAAATGAAACAGAATCCATTGCAAAGTCATTGAGACTCCTTCGCGACTCATTTCAAAGGGAGAATATTCCACTCGTGATGACATATGGCTCTTTGATAGAATCACTACGATATCATCGCAGATCCCCATTCGATTCTGACTATGACATGTCTGTGAGGCAAGATGACTGGCCACGAATCGAAAAAATTCTGACTAAACATGCCTTCAATACCAGTAATCGAATGCGGATATTTGACCTTAGACCTGCAGCTGCTAATCTAAAACTAGCATTGGCTTGTGCGATAAATGACAGTTGGCGTGATCCTACTCTATGGACTTCATTTGGTAATAAGTTAAAATTTAGTAACGGATATCCAGTTGCTCTTAATTGGGCTCCGTACAAAGCCTTCATGAGTGATTGTGGAGTTTATATAGACTTTTACATTAATGGATCGGATAATGAGCAATTCAAGGCATATCCTGATGGAACAGTATTATATCGTCCGATTGAAGGAATCCTCTTACAAACAGTGATTAATTGTCTGCCATTTCTCGAAAGTGTTTACCATTCAAGTATTGAACTATGTATGTCCAAAACTGATTACTATTGGAAAGGTGAACTTACTAGTTTTCCAGAATACTGCACCAACATGTCTGTGCCTTGTGCTTGGTTGGATACTATATATCCTCGAGTCTACAAATTTGATGTACCGGAGAAGGGTTTGAAAATGGAAGTCGGTTTGGTGAATACTCTAGATGGCGAGTGTTTGGTGCGGTCAATTTTTTACACTCAAAATATCGGTTTTCGATAGTTCTGTCTAACAACTCTTACGGATGCATTAATAATGATTGATTAATACAACAGTGATTTTTGTTTTTCAAATATAAGTAAAAAATAGCCAACAAGAAGTGAGGGGATTAATGACTTCGACAAATTTTGGCCTATTATACTTAAATAAAATTGAACAACTTCGAGAATTTCCGTGGAACTATCAACGGTAAATTTTGAAATGCTTCAAATGTTACAAATGTATTGCTTATATTCGACTGATGTTAAAGGGCAATGTCATTATGTGATACAAAGTGAATCAGAGAATAAAATGGGTAAAGCAATAATTATTATTTTATTGGATCTCATTGTCAGGTTTTGTATTAGTTGCATTTCTCATCACTGCATCCCAATGGAGGATCTGTATATTGACTTATCAAGCCTCGTACTGTTTACGATTTCCAAACCTAGGTGACTGCTGATCAATGCTGACTGTTGGTTGATGTCATAATTAATGACTCTTTTCCCTGGTAAAACAGATATACTATTAGTGTCGGATATAGAGGAAGAATAAAATAACTCAGCGGGGTATGACAGAGGAGAAGTAATTATTATAATTTCCATCAATTAAAATGGTCATCTAATTGTAGAAAGTTATTCCATGAAATTGTTCACCAAAAGTTAAGAAAGCATTTAAATTCCGATATCAGTATTTCGGTAAACATCTGAACATTTTTCACTTTGAGCTAGACTGAACTATGAAATGTGATCGAACGTTTATAGTCGTCTTACCCAAATTATTCATCTTCTATTCCAATCTAATTAAACAACATCAGTTGATTATATGGCTGCCTTCCATTGCACTAACGGTGACCACAGTCACTAAAAATCAATATGTTTCTTTTAGTCTATTCTCACACCATATCGACTGTTATTAGTACACTTTGTCTATTGCAGACAAGGGAAAATTGATTTTTATTGATCGGTAAATAAGAATTTTGATAACGATTTTGTAAGCTTATTTTGTTAAAACTATGATAACGAATTCACGAGACACAACACTTTTTTCCTATTTGTTTAAATGCATTCAATCACTTCCCAGCCGTCTGACTTGACAGAGTACAATGAATGTTGTAAGTTCGTGGGGTGAGATATTTGGCGGTTAAACCATGATGGATTTATAATAAGACGTTTATTGATGGTACCTTATGGGGAGACTAAAATCTTCACTCGTGTCTAGCTCTAATTGCCCATTCAAATTCTTTGAATTGAATCTCACGCCTCTTTTTAACCAAACGGTTGAGTAGCACTTAAGACGAAGTGCCTTCATAGTTCAGTATTTTACTTGCCGTATTCAGTGCGAATCTACGCTGCTCTCTGAATTTTTGCAAATCGGAATTTCATTTTGCATTTTATAATAAGGAAATATCAAATTAATACAAATTAATATGAATCTGAATATTCACAACCACTACATTGCTTATCCAATAAGTCTGTCAATACGCTCCAAAGAGTGACAAAAGATGGTAAATATTCTTCAGTACTCCTAAAATTTCAGACAGAAGTAAATTCTTATCTATTATAAGTCAAAATCATATAATGACCTTATTCCAATTATAATCCACCTTTGTCTTATAAGTTCAATTTATGTCATAGAAGTTTTGTCACACTATTTCACAATAGCACAATTGATTTAATCCAACCTGGTTCTCATGCACTAAATTTCAATTTATGAATAAATAAGCCTCAATTTGTTTGAACCACGTTTTACTATCATACAATATAACCTTTGACAGTTATATGGGCCACCTAATGGGCTTTGCGAAAGTCCGTCCACGGGCACATTTTCGAATGGACGAATATTTGGTTCAAAAAACAGTTTCATGAAATGGAATTTTCTTTTGAAACCCCCTGTAGTGGATTGCTACCTTAGTGAAGCCTGACCAACTCAGAAATCTCTATGGCAGATTCTCCAACATCTAGCTAGACTCCCAGAACCAGCTAAGCTATAGCCCAGCTATGAAGGAAACAGACGTGTAGCACGGAGCACGTTTATTCAGTACGGGTATTGATAGCGAAGTGTAATGTTGGCAAAGCGATAAATTATCAGATAACTCTAGCATAATTTGCGTGGGCATTAATAGCTAAATATTTCTGAGTATGGTTCTATACCAGGATTTCTATTTGGTCATTGATGAAGTGTCCCACACCCCTATTAGGATCTTCACAAAACCTCGATATTTAACGGTCCATTAATAAAAGTAGAATTATAGATTATCAAATGCATATACGTTCCTGTTCCTTGGAGCTAATGTATTGTTTATTATTTCTTCCAGAACCATTTAATAGATTTAACAATAATAACGTCATTTGTGGAAAGAGTTGGTACCAGATTTAGATTTCAGGTGAAATGAATTTAATTATATTAGAAATTGTTCTTCCATGTCTCGAGATCAGTACACATTGTTTGATACGTCAGAACTACAAGAAACAAATGGACGTGGACATAGGTAATGAGCTGTATTAGGATAAATATCCAATTTATAACTCGTGTTTCAAAATGATTGGTGTCTGTCATTTAAACCGAAATTGTTTCCGTCGTTTGTGATTAACTACTTAATGAAGTGATTGATTAATGTGAAAAGAAATGTCAATAGTGTAGCGGATTGCAACTTTATTAAAGGCTGACAGACTCAGAAATCTCTATGGCAGATTCTCCAACATCTAGCTAGACTCCCAGACCCAGCTAAGCTTTAGCCCAGCTATAAAGGAATCAGACTTGTAGCACGGAGCACGTTTAATCACTGAGTATATTGCGAAAAAAGTGTACACATAGGGAGCTACTCATGATCAGGATAAGGGATTAGGTTAAACAGAGGTTAATGATTGATCACTATTTGTACGGCCGCTGCACATAGAGTTGTACGGCCGCACCTCCCAATCCTGGCAAGCAGACATGCAGGCATACGATGACGCACACAGGGATAACGAGTTCCACAAGTTGAAGTGGGGATATATTCTAGCGTTTCAGAGTCAATGCATGAAGTGGTGTGGAAATTATTTGACAGCGAAGACGGTATTCATCCAGAATTTCTAATTAGAATGGGTCCAAAAGCCAAGGAAACCATGCTGACGCTTTCCAACAAAATCTGGGAGACCAGTCTTGTACCTAACCAATGGAAAGTTGCCATAGTAATACCAGTACTAAAAAGGGCAAAGACCCTAGCAACTTTGACAACTATAGGCCTATCTCTCTCACAAGCGCTCTGGCTAAACTTATGGAAAGAATGGTTAACAGGAGGCTCACCTGGTTCCTTGAGACTAACAATATTCTTAGGAGTGAACAAGTAGGTTTTAGGCCACAAAGATCAACGAACCAACAAGTAGCCACTTTCTCCCAATACATCAAAGATGTCCTTAATGCAAGAAATACCCTTCCCGCTGTATTCGTCGATTTCAAATCAGCACATGACTTAGTATGGAAAGAGAATCTATTTCTAAAATTGGCAAAGATTGGTATTAAGCATAACATGCTAAACTGGATAAAAGCATTCATTGGACAAAGATCGTGTAAAGTCAGATACGGAAATGCTCTATCAAAATCCAATCTTTTACAAACAGGCCTTTCACTGGGAGCTGTCACAAGCTGCACTCTTTTCAATGTCTTCATCAATGACATAGCCCAATTGGTACAGACAGTCACGGGCATCAAGTGCTTACTTTACGCAGATGATCTTATACTATGGTATTCCGCCCCTAAGAAAAACGCTCAGGAGAGGACGAAAAGTGCTCTTAATAGTACACTTAAATTACTAGCAAACTGGTGCGACAACAGTGGAATGGTAATCAACACTGCAAAAACTACATTCCAAACTTTTTATTTGGCCCATCACAGCATAAACCCGCTTCTAAGGTACAAGGATACCACCATGGAAAAAACCAATGAGTTCACATATCTTGGAATGACTTTTGACACAAAGCTAACGTGGAAAGGTCACATTGCTAAAATAGCAGAACGCGTCTCCAATAGACCGAATGTACTGGAACGTCTTGCTGGTGGCGTATGGGGCTGTGCACCCTCAACTCTCAACCACTAACAAGATGTTTATTCAGCCAATAATGTTGTATTGCTGTGAGCTACTCATTACAGCCACAGAGGTGACTCTCAAACCACTCGAGAAGGCACACAACCAAGCATCACGATTAATTACTGGAGGGATAAAATCAACACCCATTGATGCAATGCTCCTAGTTAAATATCGAGGTTTTGTGAAAATCCTAATAGGGGTGTGGGACACTTCATCAATGACCAAATAGAAATCCTGGTCTGACAGGGCACAATGAGGTTAATTGAATGCGCTAAATTGAGCAGATTTGAATCAGTTCAAGATTTTCATCTGTTATTGCTACATGGCTAATTCATTTGATTCATTATTAATATATAGATTTGATCAATTAATTAATTAGCTTCCATATTACTTTCAAATTCTGAATGCAATAAGATGATTTTATTCAAACAAAATTTGATATTTCAAGTTTGTTTATTGTCGTATTGCCTAATTATTTCATTAAATGAACAGAGAAATATAGCAAACACAGTCGGAAAATCCATTTGCAACTCACTTTTCTAAATTGGAACAACAGAAATGATCTTTGCATTATAAAGATAGTATTGAAGATAAAAAAGTAATGTGTTTTTGTGTGAAATATGTAGAAATAGGATAAAACAACAAATTGGAATTTAAAACAAATTATGGTAAAATACTAATTTTATGACACTGGGGATATTTTCACTTGCTCCGCGTACTATGCTTAAAATTAAATTATCACTTTCATTATTTAATCGATTTTTTAATTTTGCAGTCTTAAAAAGCACATTCAGATTTATTAAAAGTGAGTAGATTTGAAATAATTCAAAAATTTAATCTGCTTTTGTTGCTTGGCATACGCGCTAAATCATTTGATATTTTAAAAAAATTTAGAAATGCACATATAGGGGAAAACAGGGTGTGATGATGAGTTTGAACTTTTAGATTTCTTGCA